CTTGTATTGTGAAGATATTCATTATCATTCATACCTTTTCTACATATATATACATACATACATACTTATGCATATAGATATATACATTTTATATATATGTACATAAACACACACACACACACACACACACACACACACACATATATATATATATACATATATATCCATGTCTACACACACACACACACACACACACACACACACACACACACACACATACACACACACACACACACACGCACACACACACACACACACACACACTCACACACACACACACACACGCACACACACACACACACACACACACTCACACACACACACACACACACACACAATAAATACATGTAGAAAGATGTGTTCTTTTGTAATCGTGTCTCTTGCCCACAGAATATGAGACTGGACCCGCTTTTCGCCTTGTGTCTGGTGTGGCTGGTAATGCTGCTAGTCTGTACCCCATCTGTCCTTGCAGGTATCTACACATTTTGTTTTAATGTAATTTACCTGTTTCTTCTCTGTAAATGTGCGAGTACGACGCCTAAGAGGATTTTCATGGCTGCGTTTATATGTTCCACAGAGAGAGAACATGCCAGAAGAATGAAGAGACAAATGGATATTCTCGTCTACGCCGGTGGTGAAAATGCAAAGACGCCGAGTACAGTAAGTAAAAAATATTCAGTCACATATTCATAGAAAGTTATGGCTCTAAAATATTTATAGAATTCTTAAATGTATTCTCTATTTCTATCCCCAGGCTGCCTTACTGAACGTGCCGTCATCCCGCAGACGCCCCCCAGTAAGAATCTACAAAGCACCGCGACGAACCAGGAGGCGATGTTGGAGGGATGGCAGATATATTCCATGTAATTAATTGCCGAGATACTGACTTGATTACATGCAGACGTCATTTGCTATGGAAACGGATTTCTTGTATTTCATTAAAATTTGGCACAAAAAGGAAAGACGAAGAATTTCAGTCAAATGAATCTCAGGAGGAAAACGTGTTGCTGACCATCCGTGAAATAAGTTTTAATGTTGACGACAGTGTCGAGAAATTCCATGTATGCCATTTTGTAAATTGAAATAAAACCGTTTGTTAATTATTGAATGTCTTATTATCACATGGGTTTATTATCGCGTTCAAAATTCGTGTGTTGTGTGTAAGGTAGTTTTGTGATCGGCTCATGAAGAAAATCTGCATTTCTCTAAAGCTGAGTAATCACTACTAATATTGCTATTATTATCAATATTTCAATCGTTTTTATAATACCTCTACTACCTTTATTGTTAGAAGTACTTATTATTGAAAACTTTACTAGAATACCTGTACTAGTTGAGGATAAATAAATAAAATGCAACGGAATGGCATTCTTTATAAAATAACTAATGTTTCTTATCCTGGTTTTATAGATGTTATTCGTTTTTCATCGTTACGTAATTTACTTACTAGTTTATAATTTTAGGCAAGAATGGCTCATAATTGCATGAAGTGAGATAGTTAGGGTAAAAACTTTCTGATAGAGAGTGATAATTTGAAAATGATTTACCGAAACAGGAGCTGGAAGGAGAGAAGTGAGAAGGGAAAATGTTTGTGTCATACGCCCGTCACGAGAAAATGGTCGATAGCATACACATTGTAATGGATGAAACTTTATGAATATGTCTAAATTGTGACATTTATATGATATTAAATAGTTTATGGACCATATTATGTAAGCTTTTAAATCCCACATTCTACATGTCTTTTGCTTTGACTGAAAAATACTCGGTATGCAAATGTTACATACTACATTCATAAAATTTTCCAGATTGTTTTTGGACAAGAGCTTGAATCCATTATAGGCACATTATCATGTTTAGGATAGCCAACATATGGGAAAGCAAAATCATGATTATACTAAACAGGATATATAGCTCCCTGCTTTATTCATTGTTAAAATGAATGAAAAATACACATTTTGATCAGCAAACAGAACAAAGAGATATAGAACAAAAGTAGAATTACATCGAACATAGGCAAGTTTTCTACATGAAGAACGCTGCTTGGGAACAAAGTCTAAAGTTTTCCTTAACGCTTAACGAGATCCCTGGATCCAAAGACGATCACTAATACCTTGCCCAGTAGAGACATTGTCCGTACCGGTTGTATCTGAGGCAGCGGCGTTGGCTGGGGCGGGGACCACGGCGAATAGGCGGAGCGGGGCGGAACCGATTGCCAGAACTCAGAGCTCCCTGCAAGAGACAGTTATCGAAATTAGCGATGTAAATCCTTTTATGGTTAAAGTTAGGACGGAAACAATGCAGTTAATAAGATTTTCTTGTAACCGGAATTATGAAAAAAACATCAAGCAGTTAAAAAGTTCCAGGTACATTTTTCATAAATTCTTTCTCTCTCTCGGAGGTTCAGTATAAGCACACAAAGCTACCCAAATTATCACTTTGCAAGACACTTCTTGTACTAAAGTTGCATCCTATCGATCAGATATCTTTGTCCAGATAA